ATATATTTATTTATATTTATTTATATATGTGTGTGTGTATGTATTTTGTCATTGTTCTGAAAAGCTCACATCTATCCAGTATCTGCCATATTAAGAAGCTTTTGTTGATGAATATCAGTTCATGTGGGGCTTTTGGATATCTCAACAATAATGTTTATTTATTCCAGATTCCATACTTTATTCCTGACTTTTTTTTAGAGTTAATCAATAGTTGTCAGAACCATTGGTTCTGCATGATGTGCATGAAACGAGCTGAGACTCTGATGAAATGTGAAATTCTCATATGTCACATTGTCATGTTCACTCACTTTGGATTCTAATGAGTGCATCACTGAGGCAACAGGTTGGTTTCCGTCCACCTCCATCTCCTGTCTTAGCAAGCCTGCATTCGATGTCCTTTTTAAGGCAGAAAACACACTGACAGATCTCAGACGGTCTATTGCAACCCCGGGATAAGGTAGAAGACATCGTGACAGAAAGGTGGACCGTGCTTTGTTACATTGCCGCTCCGCTGACGTCACCCTTTTGGCAGCTGGGAAAGAAGGAATATGACGTCATTGCATCCAAATCAGCTTCAGAGGTGGTGATTTATATCCGTGCTTCTGTGTGCACCAGAGTCATGTGTTTACCAAGACAGGATCTTTGTGTTTCATTAGACATTCCCAGGCAACACACACCTGTAACTGAAGCTTTTAGCCACTGTTGGCGGGCTGTTTAATGACGTTTTGGTCTAATCTCTGTGCCGCTGATTGTTGATTACACACAGTATGATGTTTTTTTTCTTTTTTTTAAGGAGTCTTTGGTGCCGATTTCTTCCTAATTGGGATTGTCAGAGAAATAAATCTTCCAGCTGTAAAATGTCTATACTGTCCTGATGCCTGCTCAATAATCCAGGTAGAAAAATCTAAAAAAGTTAAATCTGGTCCTCTGGAGATTCAAAAAAAAAAAAGCAAAGCAACCAAAAAACGTTTCTATATTTTTGTTGGGTTGTTTTACTGCTTTTTTTTTTTGAATGTCCAGAGGACCAGATTTAACTTTTTTAGGTCTATACTGCTATACTGTCAGTCACCAGCTGCTAAAAGCCACTTTAAACCACACAAGCCCATTTCAAAATGGAGGAGATTTAGTCCATTTTGGCGCTCTACCTTCTGAACAAATCCACAGGATTGGTTCCCATATGTTCTCCGCTTGTCTCTTAATTACAGCAGATAAATCTGGATTGTTGTTCATGAGCTGCTTGGATGATGAGTTCATGCATTTGCTTTTAATGATCCAATTGTAACTTTCTAGCTCAATATACATTTTTAACATTCTAAAGAAGTCTCATTATTTATTTTATTTTATTTCATTGGTGTGTAAAGAAGGATTACTAACACCAAGCTTGCCTGGGTGTTTATTCCAGAAATCCTTGAAAATAGTTAAAATTAGATGTCTGCAAACTGGAAAGGAGGTCATCATTTACTCCACATGAAAACTGGGACAGGACTCAGAACATGCCACGGGCCTCTGAGAAAACCAGAAAGCTTCAAACTCTGTGTCTGTATGCAGATACCTTCCCTCCTCCATACCGAAAACCTGTCACCTTTCTCTCAGTATACTGGGAGTCAAAGTATTTAATGTTGTGTTGAGGTTATTTTGGTGGGTTTGTCACCTGTAGGTGTGGATGATAATATGTGGAGCTGCTGTTCATGATGTGGTCCTCTCCCCCCTCTGTGTATTTCTCCCCCAGAGGAGGGTGAGTACTTCCTGAAGGTGCTGATCCCCAGCTATGCAGCCGGCTCTATAATAGGCAAGGGTGGACAGACCATCGTCCAACTGCAGAAAGAGACAGGTGCCACCATTAAGCTGTCCAAATCCAAAGACTTCTACCCTGGTAAGAACCAGCACTCAGTCACTTACACCAACAGTCACATGTATGTCATATATAAATGTGATATCTCACTGAGCTGCAACTGTTGGGACTAGGTGGTAAAAAAAAAAAAAAAAAAACTCAAAATTGATGCAAGAAATGGTAAATGGACTGTACTTATATAGCACCTTTCTATCTTATCGAGATACTCAAAGCGCTTTACACTACAATCTGTGCCTCATTTACACAGCACTCTACTAGATCTCTACAAAGCTAATTGAAAAAGTCATTCTATAGAGACTAATAATCAGAGCTTTATCACATTCATACACTGATGGGACACACATCGGAGGCAACGAGGGGTTCAGTGTCTTGCCCAGGGACACTTCGGCATGCGGCTACTGGTCAACTCTTGCATTGAAGGACGACTGCTCTAACCACTCAGCCACAGCTGCCCAGAAATGTGAATTCTCACCTGCAGTTTCACTTAACTGAGAGCTTGCAACCAAATGAGAAACAAGCTCATTTTGAGTCATCAGTTTTTGAAAAGTTTTTTGATCTAGTTTTGTGTGCATGACTTGTAAAACTGCATTCCAGGCTGCGCACATTATTTTATTGTCCACATCATACCCACCTCTGCTCACTTTACTAGAGGGTGAGTGGATTTTCACTCCTGTCCCACTCCCACAGAAAAAAATCTTGTCCCATCCCAATCAGGTGAGTAATATTAAAGTTGACTCCCATGAATCACGTGACCCGTGGATTCCCGAAAAAAGATCATCCTCTAATTCCAGCAACATTAAAACTAAAACTATCTGAATTTCTAAGGGATATCTAAGCAACACTATAAAAGAAGAGGGCAAGTGGTGATTCAGCCGAGAGTCAGTTTCTCTTCTCTGCTTGTTATGTCTGTTGTCAGAGGCAGTTTCCTCAGCACTGAGCATGTTTTACAAGCAGCATCCAGCGTGTTAACACGTCACACTCAACTCTCGTGAAGTTCACGATTATTTAAGACTTTCCTGCCAGTTCTGTGAGCTTAATAGATAGTTACTTGTGACTTTGTGTTGCAAATCTATTTTTACCACCTCAGTTTCACCACTAGTGTTTGCTCCCTCCATTGCTGTTCTTTGAAGTTCAGCAAAAAGCAGAGGCCGGAAGCACTGTTGACTTCTGGGCCGTGTAGTTCTTTTGACTTGTATGACAGTATAGGCTTATTGAAAGAAAACTACAAAATGGCGTTGCCTGTCCTACGTTTTTTAATTGTCTGTTTGTCCTATTGGTTGATTCCTTCTCCCGTCTGCTCCCATTAACGTTTTATCACATACCGTCCCTGTCACGCGAGTAATAATAAAGAGGTGACTCCCATCCCGTGGGAATCACATGATCCATTGTATTTCCCAAAAAATGTCATCCTCTACTTTGCACCTCCCTTTTGCAGACACCTCCATGTTTGGGATTTAACCTGCAGGAGTACACTTTCCAAATCAAGACAGATTTTTTCATTTTATTTTTATAATTACTATTTATCAACAGTGCGGTTTTGAACGTGAACATCCACCTGGTGTGGTAAACATGCAACCTTACACCATGACAGGTCTGAAGTCATTACCGCACAGTTTCACACAGCAACTGCGGCTTTATGTCGTTATGAATGACAAGAGAACCTTAACGTTTGACCTCAGTAAAAAGCACGTACACAGTCTGCACACTGCGCACGTAGACTCGAGTCATACACAAGCATTGTTTGGTTACAAAGACAGAGACAAACTAAACAAATGGTGTCGTGCAAAGTGGTTAAGTTTTACTATTAAGTAATGCATCTTTCTTTCACACCAGCATGTCAATTTTTGCAGAATTGTTCTACAAGCCTAAAAGGCTTTTACCTCCATCCTCATGCTTCATAACTGATCACTGCTGATAAGGTTCTTACTGTTGAGCACTTAAATTTGGCTGGACTATCCCTTTAATGTATGTTCTGGTTTTTATAGAGCTCACCGTACCCACTGTGGTGACTGCTGGTGAAATTTGCTGTGTCAATCACCAAACAGTCTGAGCAGCTTTAAGTTGTATTTATTCTTCTATTATTCTTTATTGGGCGGCTGTGGCTGAGTGGTTAGAGCAGTCGTCCTCCAATGCGAGAGTTGGGGGTTCGAATCCACCAGCAGTCACATGCCGAAGTGTCCCTGGGCAAGACACTGAACCCCTCATAGCCTCTGATGTGTGTCCCATCAGTGTATGAATGTGATCTAAAAGCACTGATTAGTCTCTTTAGAATGATTTGTTCAATTAGCTTTGTAGCGATGTAGAGTGCTGTATGAATGGGTAAATGAGGACACAGATTGTAGTGTAAAGCGCTTTGAGTATCTTGAAATAAGATAGAAAGGTGCTATATAAGTACAGTCCATTTACCATTTATTCACCTAATTACATCCGGAGTTGATGTTACTGTAGTGAACTAGGCCTCCGACAACAATCTGTCTCTGAAGACCTTCATGGGACAGGAACTGTTATTTCATTGATTTGAATCCAGAAATACACATTATCTCATCAAGAGACTATTTATGTATCCTGAATTAATCAATTGAAAGAACACTCTTCCTTTTTCATTATCATTACTATTTTAGAATATCTTGATAATCAAAGTGTGTTTAGTTCATACCAGTTCTAAATGTTGAAGTGAACCACTCAGTTTAAATCAACTGTGAAACAGTATTAATGATTTTTAAACCTCATTAGAAGTCAGAAATCAAGTTAAAAGTCTATTTACAAAGTAAATGTGCATTGTGATCTTCTGTCTGAATGAGGAGTAGTGATGTCGGTCAGAAGTCAGGGATGTCGGTCAAAAGTCAGAAAGCAAGTATTAGAACAAAGTGTCTTGTTTTTAAACCTAGCAGACAGTAAATAACTTCAGCTAGCACCTGCGTTTGTCTCACTTCGCCATAACATTCCTCTGTCTATACTAACAGTTCGTAAACATTCCTGCAGCCTCTCTTGACTTTTAATAACCCTCTGACATCACTGAAACACGCCCCTGCTGGTTGTTTCAACCAATCAGGAAGTACCGATTGACCAGAAGTGAGTACTCTTTAAAAAGTCAACACTTCCTGGAACTATTCAGTCTTTGACCGGAGTCTTCCTAGAGTCTTTGACCGGAGTCTTCTACTTCTGAGTGGAACTTCGGACTCATTCTCCTTCAGTCTTTCATTGAGTCTTCCACTTCTGAATGGAATCTCTGACTGAAGTCTTCCTGAGAGTTCCTAAGGAACTTTCAGATTTAATCAATAGCTGATGGATTTGACCGTGAGACGAGGGTCCGTCCATCCCAGCTGGAGTCACAGCGCCTCGCTGTGAACTCACCCGGGCGTAACGCCCTACAACTTCGAAGGAAGCTTGTTCTGTTGGACGGAGTAAAAACCACACGACTTCTGACGATGACCAGCCACCCTGACCGGAGACGCTGTAAAGGAATCGTACTAATGGACTTCTCTTCCGGAATGGAGGTAGCCCCCGTCTAAGTTAACAAAGTCTCTGCACGTCCTGAAGTGTACCAGGGTTTGAGCTGGTGTTGAAAGAAGCGTGCTAATTCTGGTCAACAAAACATACATCTTCCTTCATCCACCTTCCTTTTAAACTTCTCCTTCCTTCCCTAAAACTTTTCTATTTGCCAGTAATCTAGATGCCTCAATCAGTAATGTTCTGTTGTCTTGTTAGTAAAGCGTGCCAAGTTTTTATTAATCAGAAACAGATCAGCAAATCAATGTGTACATGTCTTGATGTTAAATTTTGATTCTGTTAAATAAATGACCGCATTTATTCTGATGGGTCAAAGAAAAATGGCGTCTCATGTCACTGATTGCTCTATAAATAAATCTGACTTGACTTGACTGATCAAACAATCCTCACAGTTATCTCGGTCACATGGCATTAATTTAACTCGAAAAAGAAAGAATCTGTTGTATTTAAATAATTAATATTCTTTGTGCTTGAACTAGCTTTAAGAATAATTAATTAGTAGTGAAGCTACAGAAAAGCTGTCCCTGCTTCACTACATTATGTTCACAGTGCAAACATCTGACGGATACCAGCGTCTGCGTTAAAGCTTCAGTCGTTGCTCTGTAGATTTATTAATCCTTGTGCACGTGCTTTTATTTTTCTTTTGGTGACTGTTGGGTGATTAGGAGCACGGTGGCTCAACTGGTAGAATTGCTGCCCCTCAGCGAGAAGGTCGCCGGTTCAAATCCTGGCCGTGGATCTTTCTTGGTGGAGTTTGCATGTTCTCTCTGTAGCCCACCTATACCCCTCTAAAGTAGGTAAGGGCCCCTGAGCTTGTTAAAACCCTTAAACTCAAACTTATTCATGCTTAGGAATACCCAACAACACAGGATTAAAGTTTTGAGCTTTAATAACTTATATTCAATTCAAACAAAAAACAAACAAAACATTTACAGCAGTTCCAAAATACAAAGTATTTCAGTCCATAATAAAATCTTTCAGTTTCTGATTATTAAAGTTTACACTAAATCAAGTGGGCCCACCCTGTAAAACACACAATATAGCATATAGTTAAATTAAATATGTTCAAACAAAATAAACCCCCCATTGCAGTCCTGATGTGATGCTGAAGAGTAGAGGGAATGTGGTATGTTACTCCAAGGTCTAGATCCTCTGGAACTTCACCTGTCAGTCCCAGTTGATAGAAAGATGGTGGGGGGTGTTCTCAGCTACAATTCAGTTCAAGTCAGTTTATTTACTGTATATAGTGCCATATCACAACAAAGTTGTCTCTGGGCACTTTACAAGAACATTCACATAAATAGAAAAGCCAATTAGTAAAGTTCTCTATCTAAGGAATCCAGCAGACAAGTTGAATCGTCACTTTGTCACAGTCTCCCATCCCGAGCAAGCACCATGGCAACAGTGGAAAGGGAAAAACTCTCTTTTAAAAAGAAAGAAACCTCCAACAGAACCAGGCTCAGGACAAGCGGCCATCTGCTTTGACCAGCTGGTTTGAGAAGACAGAATGG